ATTAACAACATCAGGTTCTAAATTCAACATTCTTGCAATATGAATGATTTTTCCACCAAATTCTTCCCATCATATTCCTGATAGAATGTTTAGAGCATGTTCATGTAACTCAGCAACTTTTTGTACATTCGCTGCATGAATTTTTCCATGACTTCCTGGAAGGTGCAATGTTCTAGATACACTGATGGCCTTAAGTATGGTTTGTCATTATCGGCTATTTTATAAATCAGGGACTACCTACCTATATCACCAGAGATAGAGGAATTTAATAGTAACAACCAATTCATTAAAAATACTGACATTTAATGTTGTTATTCGTATCTTTTAGGATCTATTGAGAGTTGTTGGCTTTTTTTTTTTGAAAGGTTCTTTTTATTATTTTTTGGGGGGCGGGGGTAGTTGGAGACACAGTAGACAGTGAACCACTTATTCCTTCTTGGCAGCCTCCTTCTTCATGGCGGCCAGGATGTTGCTCAGCTCTCCTCACTTCCTCTTGGTCTGAATATGTGTCCCCACCCTTTTCATGATACACTTGAGCACCCACTTGTCCTGAGAGACCTTGACCAACTCCATGGCACACCTCCTAGATCATGTCTCACACGAACTTGGTGTGCTTGATGAGTTGCCCGTGGTGGCTGTGCCTTGGCTTGCTCACATTCTTGGTTACCTGTGCTCTTTGTTGAGGCTCACAGCCATGACTGCTATTCTTCAATGGCTGTTGTGGAGGAAGAAAGATGCTCATGTGGTCTATTTTGATGAATGGTCCATGTCCACTTGAAACGAATGTGTATTCTGCTATTTAGTAAAGGGTTTGTTTTCTGTAAACATCAGTTAAGCCATGCTGTTTATAATGTTCAACTCTTCTACATCCTTAGTTAATTTTTTTATACTGGTGATTGTTGTTAATTACTACTGAGAGATGGATATTAAAGTCTTCAAATGGTAGTGTGTGTTAGGGTTTAGGCCCAGATGGGAAAAGTCTTCTGTATATATAGTTGCTGAGAGACTGAAAAAAATGACCAGGATATAATAAGAGAGACATTAGTTTATTATAGAAAATAAAATAAAAGAGATGGCTTGCCAACAGGGTACTTAACTGACAAAAGATGTGGACAGCGGTCTCTAGTGGTGTGGGCTAGAACCTTTTTATATCATGGGATATAAAAGTTTCACACCTGTCAGGGCAGTTAAGGGTGATATTCAGAACAGGGAAGAGATAGGAAATTCACTTGGTGCAGGACTGTCTGCCCCTTCCTAGAGAACAAAGAATTTCCTCCGAATGAATAGCAGGAGGGAGGGGTCTGTTGATTCCTTCCTAGCATATGCATAGCTAAAGCATGAGAACTAGGGGTTTCAGTTTGCACAGCAGGAAGGAGGGGGCTGTGTTCTCCTTCTTAGATAGTGTGAGCAGGGGGAAGGGATGGGAGATATGGTTTGAGTTGACATTAGTGTGGCCATTTTGGAGTGTTCAATTTGTGTTCTTACAGAGTGAATTTATTTTTCCTTTTTTAAAAAGTTCTATGTTTGCTGCAAGTATTTTGAATGTCTGCTATTAGGTTCTTATACATTTAAGATTGTTATATCCTCTTAATGAATGAGGTCTTATCATTATTAAATGCCCTTTCTTTATCTCTAATAGTGTTTTTCATGAAGTCTGCTTTGTCTGTTAATACAGCCTTACCAGTTTTCCTATGTAATATTTGCATGATAAATCTTTTTTATTTTAATCTATTTGTATTTTTATATTTAAAATGCCCCTCTTATAGACATCTATTATTAGATCTTGCTTTTTAATCTAATCTAATCATTTATACATTTAATTGGCATCCATTTATACCTAATAGAATTATTAATATGTTGTTGTCAGTTGCCATGAGCACAAAGTAAAACTGTTCCATCAAGCTTCAAGGCTGTGACCTTATGAAAGTACATCACCAGGCCTTCTAATGTGGGTTTGAACCACCAACCTTCCTGCTGTAATTGAGTTAGTGCCTAATCATTTGTGCCATCTGGGACTCTCAATTATTAATACGGTTGAGCTTAAATGTGCCATCTTGGTATTTGTTTGCTCTTTGTTTCCTCTGTTTTAGTTCCTTTGTTCTTACTTTTCTTTCTCTTGGTAAATTGAATATTTTTAGATTTCCTTGTGTTCTTTCACAGAAAAATACTACTTACTTGCACAGTTTCATTATGCAAATAATATCTTAGTTAAATTTGTATTAAAATTAGGGCCTTGCTAGGGGTTTATCAGTTTTATTCAACTTTGGGCTTTGTGAGTTAAGAGTTAAGAGGGGGTGGTATACAAAGGGAATAGTATATGCACATTAGTATCAAAGATCAACTTTCTCCACCAGAATTCAGTTTGGGGCTGACCCTGCCTTCTTGCCTTCTTTCCTTTTCCCATCTTAAAATGGAACCATGGTAAACATTAAGCTAGCTTGGTAGTCATATCATAAAGCTCATATCCATTAATCATTGTAATCAATATAATAGCTGTTTGTATAATGCCACACTCTTCTGTCACTTCCTTTTTCCACACTGTGAGGATTCCAGGAGTCAACATGGAATGTATGAAATAACTTCCAATTAAATTTGTCTGCCAAGTATCATTTTTGTGTAATCAGTCAGTTAATTAATTTATGAGCAGCTTGATGCTGCCCCTAGAAGCTTGCAATTTAGTTGAGAACACATTTAGAGAATTTTACTGTGTATTTATTTATTTATATTATATATTATGTTTCTTCTATACATCTATTATATATTTATGCAATAAAAAAAGATAAACAGCAACGCAAGGCTGTGTGTGAGTATTACAGATAATAAATAAATGAAATAAAGCTATCTGTGTGGTTGCTTCAAGTAATGGCTGCCTAAACGGGGAAACTGCCAAACAGGAGTGTCCTGTCCATGATCCCCAGGGACTGACAATCTGCAGGGCACTCACTTCTCTGACATTTTCCTGAATTGCCTAATATCTAGTCTGGTTCTGAATTTTTGTCTCTGATTGTCTACAGAGCTTCTCAGTCACTTATAGTAAAATGAACTCCTTCCTTTTTTTTATTTTTTCTACTCTCTCTCTTCCTCCTGCATAGATAGATATAGAGATATATCACTTGATTATTTGAAGATTTGAATTTCCATTTTAATTTGGCTTTCCTGGGTGGAAAACATTTACATCATTGTACACATTTGAGCATGAATTGCCTCTCTTTCTAGGTGTTATCAGTTTCTACTCTTCAACATACAGGAGATTTTATGAATAATATTCAATGCAGAAAGAGAGCTCTAAAAATAATTGCACAGGTAGGGTTTTGTTAGTTTTATGTGGAACACTGGCAGGAGAAAAGAACAAAGGCACATCAGGGTGAAGGTAATGGTAGGCGGAGCATTTCATTTCATTTGCCTCCACAGAAAGCTTGCATTAAGTGGAGACAGAAAAACAAACAAGAAACAGGAGCATCTGCATTAGCTATTGAATGCTTCATTTCTCATCACTGTTAGTCACATGTGAATGGAGCCATTACAGTCTTTTTGGTGTATATAACTAAGCCTTTATTTTTTTTTTTAAAAAGAAAGAAAGAAGTCTTGAATTTTATGTCTTAAAAAACAATGAAATGTTTTTAACATTCTGCAGTTCATTTTGGAATTCATAGTCTTAAAACCCAATGGCTTTCAGTCGTAAAAGGGAATACAATACATGTCATTTTTGTACCTAATAGCACCTTCAGTAATCTTTAATGTATATTATGTATACACACCTTTTGTGTCTGTTTCTATGTGACAGTTTATAGCATTTGGCTGAATGGACGACTGAGTAAACCTATGGCTTTTACTGGGGGGGAAAATGTAAGCTCTTTAGAGCTTCTTTTAGAAATTTCCCTATAAAGAAATGTTTAAAGTGAAATGTTTAGTAGTGCATAATTAAGATTAAAGACTTTAAATGTTTCAGTTGTTCTTCCAGAAATGGGAATAAATTTGTGCTAATCAATTGGCGATTCTCTTCTTGAGCTAGGATTTCAGCCTGTATTTTGTACAGGGACAGGGAGATCTATTCTATAATTATTACTGCCTATTTTTAAAGCTGTATGTATATAGGTTATTTGAACAAAGAATTGTTGGGGGTCGTGTCTTAATATCGTACTTATTTATTGACAAATTTTCATACTGTTTAGCTCAGTCTGGAGAATGGGATTTAGTAGGTTTGCTTCCTAATTCTACTGCTACAATTGGTCTGCTACTACAATTGGTCTAGTGGTCAAGAAATGTTCTCTAGAAATATATTTGCCTGCAATTCCCAAAACAAAATAACAAAATCTTTTTTTAAAAAGCTGTTTTTTATATGCAAAATCCAGATACCAGATTTACATACTTTGAGGAAAAACAACAACAAACAAAAGGAAGCCCACTGCCATCAAATCTATTCTGACTCATAGTGACTTTATATGAGAGATTTTCTGCTCTCATCAAGATTCAGAGCCTGAGAAACCCAATACAGGGTCACTGTAAGTCGGAGCCGACTCAGTGGCACACAACCATCACCACCAATGACTTTATAGGATATAGTCGAACTGCATCATAGGGTGTCCAAAGCTATAATCTTTAACAAAGCAGACTGCCATGTCTTTTTCCAACAGAGCATCTAGAGGGTATCAAAACACGGACTTTGGGGTTAGCAGTTGAGCTTCTAAGCACTGTCCCACCAGGGCTCCTTATGCTTTGACTATTTGCAAATAACCAACAAAGCAAAATTGGTCACGACTTTGGCTTATAAACATATCCAGTGCCACATACTCTAAATATTCCCTTTCCTGTCTCTTGGCTTGAAAAATATTTCAGGAAAAAAGTTGCAGTGCCCATGTTTCATTTTTTTAAAAACTCCATGTTTGTGTTTTCTCTCAGGTTGTAAAATTTTAGATGAGTTTTTGCTATTAGGTAAACAATGTACTGTTTAATCTATTGTGACTAATTAACCATTTGTAACTTCCCAGGTATTAATTAGGATGAATGTGAGTTGGAGAATTTCTGTTTCTTGTCTGAGGATACAAAAGTTGCTGTACAGATACCAAAGTGGTTATCACCCATCAGTTCCTCTGGGATCAAGGATTTTAACTGACCCAACCAAAGTTTTTGAACACAACATGTGGTAAGTTATCTTTATAGATATATTAAATATTACCAATGATACTATTTTCATTTTGTGCCAGGAAAGGATCCTTAAAGCTGATTATCTAACTGGCGGTTTTGTTCTTCGGAGCCATGCAGTCAGTTCTAACTCATAGCAACCCTACGTACTACAGAAGGAGATTGTATTCGGTCCTGCGCCATCCTCACAATCCTTTCTTTGAGCCCATTGTAACAATCATTGTATCAGTCCATGTTGTTGAGGGTCTTCCTGTTTTCTGCTCACCCACTGGACCTCCTAATAACATGTCCAAGCAAGTGAGACAAAGTCTCACTGTCATTGCTTGTAAGGAGCATTCTGGTTATACTGATTCCAAGACAATTTTGTTCATTCTTCTGGAAGTCCATTGTCGGGGTCTGACCTCGACATAGTTGTGTTGTTC